GGAGCACAAAACCAGTCATAAGGGTCAATTTTTCGAAAATGAGATCTATACTTCATCTGAAAGCTGAATAAATGAGCTTTCCATTGATGTAAGGTTTTTTAGGATCAGACAATATTTGGCTGAGATACAACTATTTGAAAATCTGGAATCTGAGGGTGCAAAAAAATGTAAATATTGAGAAAATCATCTTTAAAGTTGTCCAAATGAAGTTCTTAGCAATGCATATTACTAATCAAACATTAAGTTTTTATATATTTACGGTAGGAAATTTACAAAATATCTTCATGGAACATGATCTTTACTTAATATCCTAATGATTTTTGGCATAAAAGAGAAATGTATAATTGTGACCCATACAATGTATTGTTGGCTATTGCTACAAATATCCCCCAGCGACTTAACACTGCTTTTGTGCTCCAGGGACACATATAGCACCTTCTTATGGCAAGACACTACAGGTGAGTAGAGTTTAAAATGTCACTAAAAGATGTTGATTGTTTAAATATGCAAATAATGCATTATCTAATTAAGTATGCACTCATTTGCATACATATCTAGAACAAAAATCGGAGCATTGGAAAAACCAGGTTTAAAATTCTTGTTTGATTTTTAGAGTTAAAGTTTAGAAATTTTGGAGTACTGTAATACTGTAAACAGCCAGAAAAAAAACATACTTTTTTTATTTTTTTATTAGTTTTATATAAAATCGGGCAAATGATATATGAACAAACCCCTCTGTAAAGCGGTTCAGAATATACTGTAGAACTGTAGATAACGGTAAAGTGTGTGTAAGTGTCACTGAAATAGGAAAAAAAACACTTTTTTGAGAAAACAGGCTTTAAAGATATGTATTGTAATAGATTTTTGTATTTTTAATTTTTTTATTAATGAATGAGATTTATAAAATCAAGTGAATAATATATACAAACCTCTAATATCGTTCAGAATCTAGATAAGTAAAATAAATAAAACGGTAAAGTTTGGTATACGTAGTGTAGCTGCTGATGTAGTAAAAAGCTTATTTTATGGCCTTTAAAGATGAGTATTGTACAAAACAGATAGCGAGCAATAAAAGAAACACTTAAAGGTGTATTTGGGATGTTTTCTTTCCACCAGTCTGAAATGTTATGAAAGCACAAACCATTGCATGAAAAACAATGTTTTATTGATTTATTTTTTTTGTCTGTAGTATCTTGCCTTATTAAAAATGTCAATGTTTTAATTAACGATTTGTGGATTTTTGTAAGATTCTTGAATATGAAAAAGTTGTACAAGTGTTTCATAGTGTTGCTGGAGGTAATACGAGAGCCAAAATCAAATGCTGTAATGTGGTCCGTTTCATATTTAATGCGTCACTGCATCCAGATTGACCTCAAACATGGAAATATCAGCAGTGAGCTCATAGGTCATGCTGGTATTTCTCATCGTTTCTCTCCACATGGTGTCAAGAAATTCAACACAACTGAAATGAGACATGATGGTCGCTGGATGTTTTTCACATGGCCTCTTTCCAGCGAACGCTCTTTCATGGTATCCCCTGAATCATCTGTAAAGTGAAGAAACGAGCTCGGAATAACCCGAGTAAAATCCTTCATCGGTTTCTACTCGTGCTATTCTCAGTGCTTGTCGTGAACGGATGGAGAGGTGAGCTCTAAGAGCTCGTCCGGAAGCTATTCTCAGCAGTTTTGACAACACAGGCCTCCAGTTTCTCTTCATGCAGATCATTTCAGTTTAATGCCACCATCTGGAGTCAAAATTATATAATCCCATAATTCATTCCAAACCAATCCGGGCATGTTTTAAAATTCCAACATTTAAAAATGCATTAAAAGTACAAAGGTTTGGGATCAGTACGAATTTTCATGTTTTTAAAGAAGTCTCTTCTGTTCATCAAGGCTGCATTTATTTGATCAGAAATATAGAAAAAAATTGTGAAATATTATTGCAATTTAAAATAGCTGTTTTCTATTTTAATATACTTTAAAATATAATGTATTTCTGTGATGCGCAGCTGTATTTTCAGCATCATTACTCCAGTCTTCAGTGTCACGTGATCTTCAGAAATCAGTATAATATGCTGACTTATTATCAGTGCTGGAAACAGTTTTGCTGCTTAATATTTTTTGGGAACCTGTGATACTTTTTTCAAGATTCTTTGATAAAAAAAATTTTTTTAAAACAGCATTTATTAAAAATAGGAATCTTTTGTAACAATATACACTACTGTTTAAAAGTTTGGGGACAGCAGAGTCCTATTTTTGAAAGAAATTAATACTTTTATTCAGCAAGGATGTGTTAAATTAATAAAAAGTGATAATAAAGACATATTGTTAGAAAAGATTTGTATTTTAAATAAAATGTAATTACAATTTTAATGTAACTTATTGATCAAAGAATCCAGAAAAAAGTATCACCGGCTCCCTCCAAAACAAAATATATATATATGAAGCAGCAAACTTTTCCAATATTGATAATAAAAGTGTGCTAGAGAAGAGAAGAGGCTGAGCTGATGCTGGACGCTTCAGAATCAGTAAGTTGCACCATATTGCTAGACCACCATATTGACAATCCTGCTAAAACAATCATAATCACTCTCATTAGTAGGCTAGAACCTCTCCAACACGATAGACCTCATCAAGCTAAACGCCACACAGGTAATGAAAACAGTTTTGTAAGGGAGCACCGTTTATTTCATAGGCTGAATGTCAGTATAGCTTATTTTGTTTGTTTGATTAATTTTTAAGCGGTATTTTCAATGTTTTATCAGCGAAATCACCAGCAACGTTAAACATGCAATACAACCTTGAACGGACTGTAGCCTCGTTTTCATTCTAAATGCATAAAACATTTTATTTTATTCTGTGTTGATTAGTAAGTAGGCTGTATCTATGCCCTGGGATTGCCAAACTTTTTATTTTAAAATCTATCTATCATTGCTTTTATTTTAATTAATATATGAATATGAAATGAATACAACCTGATTCCAATTGCACCATGAAATAACTCTATTTGCTGCTCCGCTCAGTTCTACAGTCATTCTAGCTGTTGTGTCTCTTGCACCACTACGTGGTTGATTGTTCATTTCATAAGAAAAAAAAGGTCAGACCTGAAAATGCAACTGACTTGTAAAATTAGTAAACATTATTTACTGTATCAAGAATATCAACTTTTCACTCACAATAAATATCGGAGCAGTAAATGCAAAACAATTTAATTACTCTTTATCAGAAGTAATGCATGCAATAGATATCCATTTTCTCTTAATAAGAAGAATTAATAACAGCACAAAACACACTCACAGGAGACTGTGTATGAAAGTGTTTATTCATAGAATAGTTATGAAAAAAAAACACACATCCAAACCAAAAAATTGCATAAACACGGCGAGTCTGATAAACGCACACATAACAGTATATTTGTTCAAAGGTAAAACCCAGTGACCTGTCCCGCATCAAACACGTGAGATCTCATCTCACGTCACTATTTCCGAGGTATCTGAGCATCAGGTGACGGATCTGTCTGTAATTCTGACCATCATAAACATCAGTCACAACCAGAAGCTGCTAAAATGGAGAAGGACATGAACTTGAGGAGTGTTAAAGCGTGCGCAGGTGAACGTAACAACTCAGCAAAACTACAGGACAAGCTTTAGACACTAGTACACTGTTCACTTGGGGAAGGCAATCATCTCTTATTTAATATTTTAATGAGAAAAAAAAAAAATTCAAGTCAAATTTCACCCCAAAATCATAAGCATCAAAAAATAAGAATATATAAATAATTGTATAAATTATGATTTTTGAATGTATTTCTTGTGAGAATAGCATGCCAATTAAGAATATTCTGCCTCTGTGTCTTCATTTCAATTATTCACAGCGGTGATTATCATTAGATTTTCACTCTATTACAGTAACCTATATTATATATACTGATTTAAATTCTATTAAAGGCAGTACAACAGACGCATAATAATAATAATAATAATAATGTAATTTAAATGAATTGATATTATTAATATGAAAATAATTGTACAATGAAAAAAAAACGTATTAAAGCAAAAAATATATTTGTTTGGATTTTGTGGTGAAATAACATTGTTTAAATGTTAATTGTTTGTTTCATCTGACAGTTATAGTATTATTAATTGTCATGAAAATAGTCACTAACAAAACAAAAAAAAGGGTAAAGAACCATAAAATTAGCTTAATTTTCTTAAAGCAAAATAATGTATTTGCTTTGATTTTGTGGTGAAATAAGACATTAAATGTTTGTTTACGGCTGAAACAAGCAGCACCTGTCCACCATTAGATGCCAATTACAGATCATTTTCATTTTAACAAAATATCGCCCCAATATTTGTAACTAAGAGGCCAGTAAAGTTCCTGTTACACTTCACATGCCAGTAACAACGGCTTGAAATCTGAACGAGACAAAACGACAGACTTTAGACTGAAGGCAATTTGCTGTGGAGTCAAAGTAACAGTACAGTTTAAATCACAGTGCAGAGTCATTGTTTTGATTGGCCGAAGCTCCGCCTCTGAGCTCTTTCGATTGGCCGACTGAAGCTCCGCCCCCGGGCTCTTTATACATACGACTCAGATGCTTCACCAGAGCCTCCAGTTCGGGATTCCCTCCGAGCTCAGCGATCAAGCTATAGGCCTCAGCTTCCAGATCCAGCAGCGTCTGACGGGTGTAAGCGAACGAGCCCACCTTCTCCAGATAGTCCACGCAGTAGCGTTTGATATCCACGTTCTCCGTGCGCTGCCGGAGGATGTTCTGCACCTGCGTGCTCTCGGGACGCGACCAGATGGCGTGAATGGTGGGGAAGGAGAACTTGCCCTCCGTCAGGTCCTCGCAGAAGCTCTTGTTTTCGCTGTACTCTTTGGAGTTCAGGTTGGCGTAGTCGTCCCGGATCTGGAAGAAGAGCCCCAGGGTGTCCAAAAGCGGCTTCAGATCTGGTTTCCAGTGGGAGAAGAGCTGCATGAGGCCCACGGCGAGACCGAAGAGGCCGCCGGTTTTCTGCAGCACCATGCCGCGGTACTCGGCCTCGCTGGGGCAGGTGTAGGTGTCCCTCCAGTGGATGTCCAGACCCTGGCCGCGGTGCAGCTCCAGCAGCTGACGGGTGAAGACATGCACGGCCTCGGGGTGCTCTAACATCAGCACCTTCTCCAGGCCTAGGAAGTAGACGTAGTTGGCGGAGTTGATGACCGACGGCACGCCGTAGATGCTGTGGGCCACCGGGAAACCGCGCCGCAGCTTGGAGCTGTCTTCAATGTCGTCGATCAGCAGACTGGCATTGTGCAGCATCTCCGTCACCTCGATAATCACCTGAGGATTCAAATACAAGATCATTATGAAAACCAGATCCCCGATATTCAGTCTAAAGGTGCTTTATAGGTAGAAATGGAGTCCAAAATCACTCATGCACACGTGCATTTAGCAGATTTAAGCTGGACAATATATTGCACTGCATTTTATCATTGCATTATATTATCAAAAAATTGCATCGCGCTTGTATTGTGAACAGACAGAATTATATAAAATTGGATATGTCCAACTTTATCCGCATAAATACAGTACACTCGCGTAAAGTGATGTATAGACTCCATATCAAATCTCAACTGCCTGATTTTATTTTAACTTAATTAAATTAAAATGATCAATTTAAAATCATAGAATATTACAGTCTTAATAAATATAGGCCCATTTAAAATCTAAAATAACTTTTTATATGCAACAGTAATCAAATCTTAATATGACCGTCCACTGCTTTAAAAAAAAAAAAGAAATGTACAACAAGCCTTCATTTTGGAAGACAACGAAAGAGAACATTTGTATACAATTTACATAATTTATTGTCATTGTGCTAATTCATTATATAATAACTAATTATGTATAATTTTATTTTAACAATTAAATTACATTTAATACTATTCAAATTCCATTATACTTGTTATAATTGTCACTTGTGCTCATTTAAATTGATATTTTATAATAAAATAATATAATGGATATTTTGATAATTTAAATTACATCAATACTATTCAAATTAAATTTGGATATTCACTTCCGCTAATTTATAACTTCATTTACAAGGTAAAATATATTTTTTAAATGTATATTTTAATTAAAATATTACATTAATACTATTAGAATTGCATGTAATTAATTAAAATATTACAATAATATAAATATACACACGCACAGGTCTGCAAATGGTATGACTGATATCAACATCTCAGTAGAGCAGATAAAACAGCCGCTCAACTAAAATAACAAGCATTCTGCTCACAACATCAGGGATGTGGATGCGGTGAAGTCTATTCTGGAGCAAGTGTGCCTTTATTTATTTACTTTGTGTATGAATATCTTTCTGCTGTAGTGTGTGATGTGTAAAAGCTCACAGATATTAATACTAGATGTAAATGGCAGTCCGTCTCCGCTGAAGAGATGGCTGTAAACAGAGACGGAGAACTGCACAGATGTGTGTGAACCTGCAGAGGGCAGCTGCTGCTCGCACTGCACTAGATGCTGTTCACCATCAGGGTGTGTCTGAAATGCAGACTAACATCTGAGTATTTAGTGAAGCTCTGCGCAGACGCATGTCTCTAGAGTTTCAAAGGTGTGACATACATAACTGCATCTTTTATTAATAGCTTGATTATTGTAGGTAAAAGGTGCTCGACTAAAACTACAGAAACTTTCAGTTTTGTCACACACAAATATTATACTCTTAGGCCTACAGAGAATATAAGAGACACTAATAAAAGAGATTGAAAATAATTATTTAAAATATACTTTATTTTAACTTTCATGAATGTAAGTTATTTCAAAAACTATTGTAATGTACCATTAAAACAGTCAATTAATTCTATTACAATTATAAATCAATATTAGTAATTGAATACATTTTTTGACTATTTGAGTATTAAAATAATATCATAACATTAAACAGCCAGTTTAGGCCAATTTAAAAGTTACTGCAATTTATTATTATTTATATATTAATATTATTAAAATATTACATTAATACTATTAGAATTATATTTTAATCAATCAATTAAAATAATAAAATATTATATCATAACATCAAACTAAGTCAATGCATGCCAATTAAAATTATTTTATAATAATAATTTAATATTAATAAATAAAATACTACATATTAATACTATTAGAATTACCTGAATCAATCAAATCAAATAATATTATCATAACGTTGAAGTCAGTGTAGGCCAATTAAGTTATTTTAATGCAATTAATTTTATAATAAAAAATATACTAATTTTAATAAAAACACTACATTAATACTTTTAGAATTAGATTTTAATCAATCAATGAAAAATAAAATATTGTATCATAAAATTAAACAGTCAATGCAATTTAAAAGTTCTAATGCAATTAATTTTATAATAATTTTAAAATGTATAAATTAATAATTAAAACTGTATGCCAATTTAAGTTACTTTAATGCAACCGTAATAAAATCTTAATATGACAGCCCACTAATGCTAAAAAACAATGATATAATTTTCTCTCAATAATACAGCACAAGTGAGAAATGCATAATATAAATGTCACAAATATACAATTGATATAATTATCACTTGTGCTGTGTTCCCTAAAGAAGACATAAATGTTTCTGAGGAGTGAATCTGGGTTGATGTTGCTCTGATCAGCGCTGATAGGGAGCATATGGTGAGCAGAGGGGAGGCTGGCTAACGCATTCACTCGTTAAAGTAATCAGCGCTTTAACACGACCTCAGATGACCTCTGACACTCACACACACTCACACAGACCGCAGCAGAAACACGAGGAAACACACCAGTCAATCACAGCTGCAGGTGAGCGTTTGAGCGCTCACTCATAGACAGTACTGATGTGAGCCGTGAAAGTCAGTAAATCCATGCAAATACATTTAGGCTTATGCATTTGAATTGCATTGCATATAAAATTCCCATGCATTTGGATTCCAGTTTTAAACTAATACACTTAATGTGATGCATATTTGTCAGTCATGCATAAATGAAACGGGTCTGATTTCTGTAATTGTACTAATAAAACGAATGCGTTTTAAATGCACAATAACCAGCTTTATATATATTTTATCAATAAATCCAGTTTTTCAATCTCATACATTAACTAATTGAATATTGCTAGTTCCATAGCTACGTATATTTTATCCATCTTTTTAACTGAATAAATGTAATTATTTTCCACCATGAACGGGTTTATGCTGATTCCAACTGAATTGCAATCAAATAGATGCAAATTGTTAAATTTAATTTGTATAACTGACAAATATGCATCAAATTAAGTTTATTTTGATATAATTGAGAATTAATATTTTTAATCCGTTTTTATTTTCATTGTTTATTTAAATTTTAGTACTTTATTTTTTTGTCTACTTTTTTTGTTAATTTTTATTTTAGTTTATTTCATTACATCAAGCTAAAATAAGTTTATTTATTTATTATTTACATTTTTATTTCGGTGTATTTTCAGTAAAAAAAAAAGTTGTTTTCAGTTTTATTTAAATATAATAACCCTGTATGTTAACTTTTTTTATTGATGGAAATCTTACAGCCATAAACCATATTCATACTTAAGTTACTTTAATGCAACCGTAATAAAATCTTAATATGACAGCCCACTAATGCTAAAAAACAATGATATAATTTTCTCTCAATAATACAGCACAAGTGAGAAATGCATAATATAAATGTCACAAATATACAATTGATATAATTATCACTTGTGCTGTGTTCCCTAAAGAAGACATAAATGTTTCTGAGGAGTGAATCTGGGTTGATGTTGCTCTGATCAGCGCTGATAGGGAGCATATGGTGAGCAGAGGGGAGGCTGGCTAACGCATTCACTCGTTAAAGTAATCAGCGCTTTAACACGACCTCAGATGACCTCTGACACACACACACACACACACACACACTCACACAGACCGCAGCAGAAACACGAGGAAACACACCAGTCAATCACAGCTGCAGGTGAGCGTTTGAGCGCTCACTCATAGACCGTACTGATGTGAGCCGTGAAAGTCAGTAAATCCATGCAAATACATTTAGGCTTATGCATTTGAATTGCATTGCATATAAAATTCCCATGCATTTGGATTCCAGTTTTAAACTAATACACTTAATGTGATGCATATTTGTCAGTCATGCATAAATGAAACGGGTCTGATTTCTGTAATTGTACTAATAAAACGAATGCGTTTTAAATGCACAATAACCAGCTTTATATATATTTTATCAATAAATCCAGTTTTTCAATCTCATACATTAACTAATTGAATATTGCTAGTTCCATAGCTACGTATATTTTATCCATCTTTTTAACTGAATAAATGTAATTATTTTCCACCATGAACGGGTTTATGCTGATTCCAACTGAATTGCAATCAAATAGATGCAAATTGTTAAATTTAATTTGTATAACTGACAAATATGCATCAAATTAAGTTTATTTTGATATAATTGAGAATTAATATTTTTAATCCGTTTTTATTTTCATTGTTTATTTAAATTTTAGTACTTTATTTTTTTGTCTACTTTTTTTGTTAATTTTTATTTTAGTTTATTTCATTACATCAAGCTAAAATAAGTTTATTTATTTATTATTTACATTTTTATTTCGGTGTATTTTCAGTAAAAAAAAAAGTTGTTTTCAGTTTTATTTAAATATAATAACCCTGTATGTTAACTTTTTTTATTGATGGAAATCTTACAGCCATAAACCATATTCATACTTTTTAACTGACTAAATGTAATTTTCACAATGAACCGTTTCACGCTGACTCCAAGCTCTCTCTCTCCCTCCAATTCAATAAATGCATTTTGAAAACGATTATTTAAAAACAAATAATTAATAATAAACTAGGGCATGATAAACAAGATTCTTTTGTAGTGTGCAAGCAAAATACATTTAATTCAAATAATTTTAAAAAAAAAGTTAATATAAAAAGCATATTCATCATTAAATCCAATGTGTTTCAGTATGAACCATTAAAGAATACATTTTTTAATTACTTCAATAGACTCAAATGCAAATAGTTAAACTATGCCATGATTTTTATATACACATTTAAATCTAAAACGAATATAAAAAAAAAAAAAATCAAAAAGTATATTTAGCATCAATACAGTTTCAGTCTCATACATTTTAACTAATTGAATATTGCTTGTTTTACAGCTAGCAATATTTCAACCATGTTTGTACATTTTAACTGAATAAGTGTAACTTTTCACAATGTCCCAATTTATGCTGACTGTAAGCAATTAGATAAAAATGCATTTTGAAAATATGATGA